CAGCAGTTTAGTTGTACTCAGACATGGTACAAATAGTGCAATCACTAACTGTGCCTGGGCACAGAACTTGAATGCTATATACTATGTGACAGCACTTCTTTTCAACACAAAAAGTTACATCATAGCGACGTAAGTGTGCTCTGACCCATTTTAAGTGCAGTGTGCACACAGACCAGTGAGGGAGCAGAGAGAGGGGACAATCTTGATTGAGCATGGTACAAGGCAAGCATGCCTAGTGTGAGGATGCCCTTAGTTCATCTACCTGTCTGCAGTGGACGAACCAGTTGGGGCATAGTACTTTCTTAAGGTCCCGGAACTATTGGGGTGGGGTCTGCAGTACTGAACTTTGCTAACTGTTCAAATGCTGCCAAGCATGCTGCTAACTGTTGCACTCTTGTTACACCAGCTAATTTGTTTAATATTCCTGGGGCCATTCTAAGTAAATTCCTATGGAATTGTACAAAAATAAAACAAAGCTTAGCCATGCATTCTCCTCAGAAAATAATCAAGAGGTTAACAACTAGTAATTGAACATTTGTTATTTATAGTTTGTCAGGTGACAAACCACGTTTCAGATGATCAAGAGGTATAAAGTACAGTCTATGATAAAAATGGTCCTCAGTCTGCCTCACTGTGAGTTATCACCACTCTCCTCCTTTCTCCTTTAACTGTGGTGCCTGTAGACTGAATACCTGGGACGGATGGTTTGGACCATGAAGTGTGTGTTGGAGGGCGTCCCGGGGCCTGGCAGGAAGCTGAGTATGTGCTCCATGTTGAAGGAAGAGATGGAGACACTAGCAGGTGCAGGGAGGGAAGCACACACCACTGCAGAGGGGAGAGAATAAGTGCATACACTTCAAAGGGACAGTGAAATTATTTGAATTTTCATGGACATTGTCTTTTTTATTATTTTATAACTGCACAATTCATATACAACACAAGGTTCTGGCACAACTTCACCCACTGTCAATGTGCACAGACAAGGAATTAAACACACCAGAAAGCAAAATGTCCAGCAGCACTTGCAGTGTTTTCAGCAACTTTCATAAAAAGACCAACATGTTGCAGCGTGAAACCTTTGTTGGGGTCTGTAAAAATCTTTTTATGAAAGTTGATCAAAACACTGCAAGTGTTGCTGGACTTTCTACTTTCCATAATCACATCATTCCCCACTGCTAACTCACCAGTCGACACAAAGTTAAAGAAATATTTCTTTACCTAAATGACTTGCTCGTTCAGCACCACCTGACATTTTTACAGAATTACTGTGCATTTACATTTACTTGCCAAAATATGCTAAAATCTTAGTCCAAAGGTGTAAAAACAAAGGGAGGCAGTGTCTTTGAAAACACACAGTGTACTTTGACAGCAGTGACAAAGCTCACCCATACAAGAACAGCTCAGGGCAGACATTCATTAATCTGATAAATTCACTCTTTAAAGCATCTCCTCCCTCCCCACCTTCAATCCAGGGAGCATTACCAAGGTGTAAATGTAGAAGCAGCAGCATCCACAGCCCCATCATTCCTCCATGGACTGTGTTACGGCTTGTAGTTAAATGCCCTGTGCAAGATGATAAGGCTCTTGTTTTCTGGGTTAGAATACAAAACATATAGAGTGAGGAGGGAGGGAGCTGGGGTTTGTGTGGGTGTTGGGAAACGAACACCGTATGCTAACATGTGCAAGGCTGAGTTTCTATTTCCCCAGAAGTCCCTCCCTGTGCTTACTGCCCTTCACATCCTGTAGTTAACTCACTGAACTAGAAACTAGTTCCCTCTGGAGCCAGCGAACCTTAAGTTTACCTTGTTTCTGATCTGTGCAAGTTTTATTAGTTATTCTGTTGATGTCATTGTCTCTGACTAGATGTCTGATTCTGCACAAAATCTGCTCGTACACATGTAAAACTTGCTATTGCTTTTACTGCAGAAATACAAATGACAGAACATAACTATTTAATGTTTATTATTGTGAAATGTACATGTTTATGGCTGAGAACTCAGTAATACAGTCTTTTTGAATAGCTTGACAGATTTAACTGCAAGATTTTACAGTCAGTATAAAAATAAAAAAAATGTCACAAATACATAACTAATTTCATTATACAGTATTTCTTAGCTGCATACCGACACTTGTAATAATACAAGTGCTAACTTCACACACATGAACTGTACACGGACCATGACAAGTTAAGTAAATATGGAAAAAAGGCATCCATGTAATCATAAACTGTACAGGCCATGTAACATTCTGTCACTAACATTCCCACTCAATTTCATCATCATTCAAAGATGTACGTGTGATGATTTCATGTGTAACCCAACACAAAGCTGCTTCGGCACTAGTGAGTCACCTGCGTAATTTTTCACAAAAGTGATGTATAGCTACTGCATTTCAGGCATAGTACACCATTTGTTTTTATTTTCATTGCATGTATTTTATCTCATTTGAACAATGTTTTCATTGTTCATTTGTCTTCATTTTAACTTGGCTGATTTTATTCTGGTTTTAATGCTCATTGTTTTTAATGATGTTAATGCTTTTCTTTGCCCATGTCAAGCACTTTGAATTACCTCTGTGTATGAAATTTGCAATATAAAAAAAGCTGCCTTGCTTTGCCCAACCTACAAGAACCAAAGATATTCAGTTTACTATCAAAAGACGAGCAGCACGTCCTCACAGGAAATGTCTAGCAAATGACTCAAATGATAAATCAATTCAAAATGAATCAAAATATAAAGTATGGTTGATTTTGTCGATAAATAGTCTTATACTTGTACAGTGCTTTTCTATGTATTGCAGCACAGTCAAAGCACTTTCACACTATTTGCCCATTCACACGCCCAAGCACACACACACACACACACACACACACAGTATAACAGATATCAAACCAGTTAACTCAAAGTGATGTTATTTCAAATGCAGACAGATTTCTTTCCAACTGCCATTAGACTCCTCAACAGCTGAAGGAGTTTATAATCAGGAATTACTTTATGTAATTCCACCTGTACTGTTTGCACGTGCACATCTGCACATGCATAATTGCACACTCACTGCTGCCTATTGCACATCCAGTTCCGATGTAGCATTGGTCTCCCCTTGCTGTTTATAATTGCCTTTAGACTTTGTGTACTATTGATCTACCTTATATTTCACCTTACATTGTTTGGCATTCATTGTGGACAGCAAAGTAAGAATTTCATTGTACAGTGAAACATGTTTCCTCACTGTGCACATGACAATAAACACAGAGTCTTGAGTAAAGGAGAAGCCTGAATAAATGAGTGGCCTCTTTCCAGAATGACAGTGACCCCATCCATAGGGCACGAGGGGTCATATCTTTTGGAAGAATGGTGTTCAGAGACCTGGTGGCTCAATGTCAAGGTGTACCGAAGCTGTTCTGACAGCACCTGGTGGCCCAACACCTTCCTAAGTCACTTTATGTGGAGCTTTCCTTTCAATCGGCACCCATCTGTATGTCGGAAGGGGACTTAAATCAAAGCTGGCCATGGCTTAGCTGCGAGGCAGTCAAGAGACAGGACGGTCACAGAGATATTAAATTGGAAATTCTTAGCATATACCATGACCCTGAAACAGCTGCCATGGTGAGAGGCATTACCTTATAAACACTGAACTGCCTGTAGGCCTGATGGAAGCACAATGCCACTCCTTTGAAGTGTGAGCTGACAGTTTAATGTTCTATATCATTATTTTTGGATGCATCATGGTTATATAGAGGATGATAACCGCCCGTCCTAGGAGTGTGTGCGCACTGGTACAGTTAGACTTACAAATGTCACCTTGCTTGTTGGACGTTAAAAGTGAGAATAAATCAGCCAGAATTACTGTAGGTAACAGTTTGTGTGACTGTGGAGATATGATTTAGACTGTTCCACATGCGAGTCAAGAAGTGAAGCCCCATTACGGTGGCAGAGTTTAAACAAAACAGGCCACACTACATTCAGGCTGTTGATGGACAACATGTCTGGACCACTCAAATTTTGTTCATGTCCAAGAAAAGCGATGAGAAATGTGATGTATGTGACGAGGCTCCTTAAACCAGTCCCACATGCTGCTTAAGACCAAATCTGATTGTACAACTTGCATGAAACTCACTGAAAAGTTTTAGACAACACCTCTGAAACAAACGGTTTTATCAGAAAAATATGAAACAACTGAAGTTGTTAGAAAAACAAAAGACAACACTTCAAACTGTACGTTTTCCAGCACAGGGTCAGTGTGAGTAGAATATGGCCACCTTGTAATTACTCAACAAACTATCAGCTTTCAGTGTCTAGACTCAACAAATGGAGATGAGTTTAGACCTCCACACAGACTGCACAGTCTGATTTTGGAAAACTGGGTTTAACATATTACGCCATTCTGCAAACACACTGAATGTCCAGCCAGACTTCTATAAGAACTTCTACAAGACAACTGTACATGGACGGCCCATATATCCAAAGTGCTCCTCTTCATCAACAGAGCAGGAAACCTTTTCTATGGCATGCTCCCTAGTATCCCAAGTTTGTGAGGGTTGAACTGAAGTGATGTTTCTCTCCTCTGAGGGAGACTGTGGCTCAACCTCTGCCACATCCAGATGAGATTCCTGCTCCTTCTCCTCCTGTTCACGCCTGCCAAAGATTAATGTGAGGAGGTTCACATCCTGGCTGCCTTCCTCTCCCACCACCTCCTTCTCCTTGATATTTGGCTCAGTCATATTGTTTGAACTAGCAGTAGAATGTGTCTCTGCTGAAACTGGGGCTTCAAGTTTTGAAATGAAGGAGTCTGATGTGTGCTCTGATGAGAAGCTTGGCTGTGGTTCAGGTTCAGGGGATAACACATCTGACAAAGATGATGAAGACGAAGTGGAGGAAGACAAGAGGTTTCTTCCCACCTGCAGTTTATAACCTCCTCCAATGCTCTCCGTTCCACATTCCTCATCACTGTCACTTGACAATGATAGGCTGCTCCTCTTTTTACCTGAAGAGGGCAGTGTTGGTTGGCCATTCAAGGAGGATGAGAAAGCTGTGCTGTAGGGCACAATGACAGGAACCTCTTCGATGTGATGGAGAGATGTCTGAGACAGACATACATGTAGGGGAGACAGAGAGAAAGCAAAAAAAGAAAAGATGTTACAACCAGCGGATCAGATGAACAGCAGTCCAAGCAGTTTGTTGTGAAATATATTTAAATATTTCAGATTTCTACAACTGAAAACTTTTGAGAATAATGCTGAACGAATGAATTCTTTAGCAGAACTACTGACTGACTACTTTGAGTAACTAAGTCATTTAACAAGTAAAATGACTAAACAGTTCCTAGTAACAACATCTCCTAGTTACTCCTCATATGAGAGGTGTGGTTTCTGTCTACATCATTTTACGTCATCATAAACTCGTTAACTTTGGGTTTTCTTTCATCATCATCATCATCATCAACTTTATTTATATAGCACATTTAACACAGCAACAGCTGACCGAAGTGCTTAACACAAGTTTTCGTTCTATTATGTGAGGACACTCAAATCTGTCATTTTTAATTGTATTGTTCCTGGAATAACAGATTGTTTGGTTTTATAAAACAGTTAAAAACAAATCAGTGTTTGGCAGAGTGACATCTTCAAATGTCTTACTTTGTTTGACCAGCTATCTGTACATTGTTTACTGTTAAACGAAGTGCATAAAATTCTCACATTTGTAAAGCTGGAACCAGATACTGCTAAACTAATAAATTACTGTTGTTCGTCATTTGTTGTTGCTCTTTCAGAGCATTTAACCTCTAAACTCATAAAGACAAAGATAAAGACAGGCTGTCAAAGGTGACTCAAAGGCTTTTCACCAGAACGGACACTTGGCTCATCAGAGCTTCACCTCAGTTGATCAGAACAATGAGAGTTGCTCTCATGTACTGTCTGCAAGTAATGTAATATGTGACAAAAATGAAGCCGTTCTATTTATGTATTATTAAGCTACATCTTTCCCAACAGTGGAGATTTCAAACTGCTGGCTGAGTAAGTGTTTTGGAAAAGAAACCGTTGCTGAGTAACCAATAATCTCATGCCCCCTCCAAATCTCACATCTACTTGGCTGGCAACATATGAGTCCTCTATAAGGAGAAATCCCCTCTACGTCTCTGTCACTCCGGTTGACTTCGGGCAAATAATGGAACATGAAACTGCACCATATTTCTTAAAAAAATTTGTTCAAATCCCCCTCCCACGAGACAAACACCACAAACAAAAGGTCAACTCTAACCGACACCCACACTTCTAACAGTTCTAATATCAGCACACCGTAATAAAATAAAGAAAAAACACGAATATGAAAACAAGGTATCAAATGCTATTGGTGACTGACATTTTCCAAGGTCAGACCATTTTTCAGTTGGCAAACACATCATCTATATGCTCACATGTTCAGTGCCACAGCTGTGTACCAATTCATCTAAAATCTTAAAACCACAAATCAGAAATCAGGTATGTAAAATCAAAATTTTTACTGTCCTGGCCATGAGTGGTCTGTGTTCAAAGCGAGATAGTTTGTTACAGTTTTACACAAAAGTAATTCATCATTAAAGCAAATGGAAGCGACTCTGAAAAGCTGAGGAACCAGTTTACGATCGACCCCTTGTCTGTGTGGGGGAGCCTGAAAACCATCACTGGCTACAGGAAACCATCCCCCCTTGCTGTGGAGGACCGTCAACTAGCAGACGACCTGAATGTGTTCTACTGCAGGTTTGACAATCAACACTCCCCCCTCACCCTCCCCACCTCAGATCCAGCAGCTGCTCCCTCAACAATCACCACCCTTCCCTCCAGCCCCCCACCTCTAACGAGCTGTGAAAAGGATGTGCGCGGCCTCTTTAAAAAACAAAGGATCAGAAAAGCTCCAGGCCCAGATGGTGTGACCCCCTCCTGCTTGAAAGTGTGTGCTGATCAGCTGGCCCCCATCTTCACACTCATCTTCAACAGGTCACTGGAGCTGTGTGAAGTCCCCTCCTGCTTCAAACGCTCCACCATCATTCCAGTCCCCAAGAAAATCTCCATCAGTGGACTGAACAACTACAGACCTGTCACCCTGACATCTGTAGTTATGAAATCCTTTGAAAGACTGGTGTCAGCCCACCTGAAGGACATCATA